CCAAGAGTTGGATGCTTAACCGACTGAACCACCCAGGCACCCCTATTATTGATTTTTAAGTGAGATCTCATTAGCTACTAATACTGATTTTAACTTGGCTTTTTATTTTTAAGTTTACTTTACTTATTTTGAGAAAAAGAGAGAGACATAGCAGGGGAGGGGCAGAGAGAAAGAATCCCAAGCGTGTCAGGGATTCTCTGTCAGTGTGGAGCCTGATGTGGGGCTCGAACTCACAAACCATGAGATCATGACCTGAGCTGAAATTAAAAGTCCATCACTTAACTGACTGAGCTACCCAGGCGCCCCTTAACTTGATTTTTTAAATCATTTTAGATTGAGTCAATCTCAGCTAGACTTGTCTACGATTCTCTTAAGCTTCCCTGTACCTCTGTCAGGAATGCACTTATAAAGGTTTGTAGCTAAGCTTCTCTTAGATACCTAGAGAGATGCTGCTGACAATTTCCCTTTCAATGAACAGACAGAAAAAGTAAGTCTACAGTTATTTTAATGTATCAAATTATTTTTGGCTTATATACTTTTCCTAGAAATTTTTTTTTCCAGAAAGAAGTTTAATGGTAGTGTTAAATGGTGAGCAATCAGAAATATTCTGCCATTTCCATTTATTCCATAAATTTTGGGGTCTTTGAGAGCACGAGGTCCCACAAATAGAATCCAATTGTAACCAAACACTTCAAATTTGGGTGAAGAAGGTATATTTAGAGGTCCTCAGAACCTATGAAATTTCAGACTTGTTATCCAGCACCTCCTCCCACGTTATTGGTTTGTGTTCTCCTGAAGTTCTTGTGCTGACATTTAAAAACACACTTGTTTCTGAAGGCAGAAAGATTTATTTTAGCTCCACTGACTAATGCGGGAGTGGGAGAACAAATTTGCTAAAACTTCCAAAAATAATTTATCTTTGGATAGATACCAAGTATGTGAAGTTTTAGACCAAGAATTTTTTTTTTCTTTTAAAGTTTTAGAAAAGCATTTACAGAAACTTAGGATGAAAATGCATTTTGTAACCTTCATGAAAATCAAAGCTACTCCTTAGTTATTCTAGAGCTAATCTTACCTGATCTCTGCTCACTTCTGATCTGTAATCCAGCCAAGTTAGTTTTCAGCATTTTCATGGGTGGATTTCCTTATTTCAGAATAAACCAGAAGATGGGGCTTTAAGCTTTTTGTAGTGATCTCTCATTTAATTACATTCTAGGTATTTAAGAAGTAAAATTTTTGTTTCGTTTATTTATTTAAACATTTTTAACACTTATTCATTTTTGAGAGACAGAGAGAGAGCACGAGCAGGGAGGAGGAGGAAGGAAGACACAGAATCCGAAGCAGGCTCTAGGCCCTGAGCTGCCAGCACAGAGCCCAATGCAGGGCTCAAACTCACAAACCTTGAAATCATGACCTGAGCTGAAGTCGGTCGCTCAACTGACTGAGCCACTCAGGTGCCCCAAAATTTTTGTCTTAAAATGCAATTCATAATTCAGTGTGCTGCAGTTTAAAGCGCATTTGAAAGTGTCTTCCAGTAACTTACAAAATAATTATGTTGATATTCCAATATTTAGAAAACCTTATAACTTCCAAATCTCTGAAGTTGTTTGGACCAAGGTGAAATAAACCAGGATATGTGATGATTTTTTGTTTACAACACCTTTGTTAACAT